GGTGGAGAGGGCTGAGAAGGCGGGAGAGGCCATGGTGGGGGCTTGGGTGGGGAGGGACGGTTTAGGTGGAAGGGTGTAGTTGGAGAGCTTGTGAGGTTGGAGTCATCTTGCGAACACACCTGTCTGCCAATGACTCACTGCTCTGGAATTGGAGGGGGGGGCTTTTTGGCTCAGTTGGCTTACATGATACACTTAGTCAAGCTCTCCTCCCCACATTGCACAGCAACACGTACTTGCCTCCACCATTTTCTGTTTTGGTATCGGTGAACTGGGGTCAAGGATGTCAGAGCTGTTGCAGACTGACCCGACTCACTCGGCAACAGCAAGCATGTCAGTGTGCATGTCGGTGTGCGGTTCCTTAATGATTTCCAACACTGGCGAGAGGCAACCCGGGCCGCTCTTCTCAGTAGGGTGGGTGCGGAGTGTGGCGTTTTGCACCAGAGTGACGGTTGTGTTTTTGCACACTTCACTGAGCTCCCACTGCCTCATCCCTGCATAACCCCCCTATGTATGTGCTGGACAATCTGGCTGTGTCAGTGTCGGTTAGGCAGCCCCCACCCTCCCCGCCCCCTGACATTGTCCTGTTGTGCAGATGGCACGATGGACACTCGTGGCCCATGTTTGCAGGGTATTCGGGGGAAACTCCTGTCAGCTGTACCAAATTAAGCCTTCACCCTGACATTAAAATAGCACACTGGGAAGCACATCACCACTTCAGAATACACTGCACAGAAAATGCAGCGAGTCGGCGTTAATGTTAGAGCGAGCAACCACAACGCAGGCGGAAGCGCAGCTTCTGAGGCAAATATGTCAAACAGGGGGCTGCGAAGCGGACTCTCGAGGGCCCGAAGGGCTCCGTGAGAGAGGGATTTGATGAATTCTCCAAACGTTCCGCGGATTCCTCCCTCGCAGGGACCTTTGGGAAAAGAATGGGTCATATGCAAATGGCATGCACAGTATGGAGGAGAAGTTTCCCACAAGCCGAGTGTGAAAAGGGCTCTCCCTCCCCATGCCGGGCGTGCTGAATGGGCCTTTTCTTCTGCCGCTGAAAGTGTATGAGGTAGAGCAGGCAAACTGCAAAGGTAACTAGGCTCTTTCTCCTCGGGCTTTCTCACTAAAGCCCGAACACACAATGGTTCATTTAAGCATTCAGCCACGCAAACCCCAATAAAGCACATCCAAGCGCAGTTAAGGGGGTTACTGAAACTGACTCTGGTTTAAAACTCCTGCTTTACGGAGGAAGAGCACCTCTTTTTATAGGCTAATGCCCTCGGCCTCCATGGGAGCGGCTAATCATTAAGCCGCCTTAACAGATGTGGGAGTGTGGTCGTACATCACATTATTTTAATTCCGCCGAATGGTCAGATGAGGATGGGCCTTTTACTACCCGGATGATGATGTTGAGGGATGAGGCTTAGCCACAAAGAGATTATTTATCCAAAACACCATCCTCATCTGCATGGATTCCTTTTAGGCTTTAAGTGCAAAACATCAGTCCCAGCATCCACACAGGTCTGTGAGTGTCACGCTTTCCATCTGCCAACGACTGCCCTCCGGTCTCCCCTGTTGGTGAAATTCTCTAGTCACCTCAGACCCCCCCAGCTCCCACAGGGGACATGGAACCCCACAGTTTAAGAGGGTCAGGAAGGAGTGGACTGCGAGTCGGAGGGAGCGGAGGAAAAGCTGCAGCTCCAACGCCCTCCCCTTCTTCTTCCGTCTCCTCTCTCTCCTTTTCATTGAACAGACTTTAACACAAACACAATTGGACATGCTGGAACCCCTCACAATGGCACCGGGGGGAGAGAAAGTGAAGTCATACTCTAGGCACGCATGGGTGCCTAGGTCAGGGGGCAATGAACAGCACCCCTGGCTACTGTGTCTTAACCCCGCGAAATAAAAGACAATCTCTGGGAAGGGAAGAACGATAGAGACGGTGGAGAGGGAGTTGAAGCGGGGGTGGGTTGTGAGGGGGGACGAGGGGGGGGATTCCTCTTCTTACTTGGCACTTTTAAATAAAGCTGCCGAGGAAGTTGGTGAAAAGCGCCGAGGTAAATGAAAAATTTCCTCCTCCGCTAAACTCTTCCCACGACAGGGGTGGACCTATTTAAATGTAAACAGATGTTTTTTAAAAGCCTTAAGTGGCATGTGGAGCCGCGGAGCCAATCTCCACCTTCTACGGGAGCCTCCGCTGTAGCCCGGAAGCATGGCTCTCTCCACCCAACAAACTAGGGTTGAACCAGTGTTTTGTTTTTATTTTTCTTCCACAAACCTACGGCATGTGGCTGGATTCACTTGTTTCTAGACGGGGTGAGCGAGTCCGGGGGCACTAAGTGTTGTTTAAGTATAGTTTTACCAGGCCAATAAACATGTTCCTCAACATCACATGAGTTGTTGCCAAGCCCACAACCTCATTTTCCCTATTTGATGGATGATTCATCAAAGGTGCAAGTGTGTGTGAGAATACCTCAGAAGGAGAGACTGGGTGTGGGGGGGCATGGAGGGAAGAGAGCGACACAGATTAGGGGATGAAACAAATGATCCATATGATACTGTCAAATAAATAGAAATCCCAGCTACCTGTGTACACACAATCATTTGCAGTAGTCTCGGTAACACCGCTCCGAACACATCAGCCCCCGGCTCCTCCTGAGCGCGGCTGCGGAGCCGTCCCAGTCCCCTGTTTATTTTTGCACAGAATGTTAACACTGGGCGCATTCCTCTATTCCCAAATTGCTGTGTTAAATTACCGTTGGAGGGAACGGCTGCTGTTCCCTAGGGGAGCAGGCTGGAGGACACGACAAAGGAAGCGGTAGTATCCCACCGATTGCAAACACCTGTCGTCCAGCGGGCTGTTAACACCTCTCTGTTTACAGCGGGGAATGGGGCTCACCTTGATCCCCCCCAGACACACACACACACTGGCAAGACCACTGACCATAACAAGCTGGGCACAACTTAAGAGCTCGCTTAATTAGCCCGAGCGCCGGCGATTTTCTCTCTCTGAAAAAAGCCATTAATGTTTGTTTGCGGCAAAGACAACAAACCATATTTAAAGACCAAATGTGTTATGACACTGTACCAAAAAGCAAGAGGAATTCCCTTAAAAAAGCTGAGATGTCGATTAACATGACAGATCTGCAGTCTTGTCAGGAGGTGGCAGGAAGCGAGGACATTCAAAGCAGACCTCTTTGAAGCAAATGCAAATGAGGCAATGGAACAAGGGGCACATCTGTTTGGTTAAGGCTGCAACTTTAAATATCAATAGGACCGGCATCATTTAATCCAAACTGTTTCAGTTAAAGGGGGGAAGCAACAAATGGCCGATAGATTAAAGAAGAAAAAGAAAACAAAAAGTCTCTCCAGAGTAAATAAGACTCCCTTTCTCTCTCCCCCGGGAGGAAGGCGGAGGACCAAACCGCGCACCTTGACAGCGGGACCGTTATTTAAGGTTCGAGGTGTGTCCGCACCTTGCGTGCGTTGCACCGCACACGCGCTGCGGGGACGGAATGCGAGGCTCCACGCAGCCCGTAAAGAAGCGAGATGACAGCGGAAAACAACAAAAAACAACAACAACACGCCACTCTTCACATCAGTCACCGGGCATCTACCGAAAAATTACACCACCAGCAAACCCCCACGCGAGAAAAACCCCGTTTGGTCCCCTTTACTCCACGGGGGGGCACATAAGTAGCGCCTGTTAGCTAACTAGGCGACCACCACTAACTGGCGGACAGCAAATAACAGCCAAAAGTATTTCTTTCTCTGTAACATTAAAACAAATAATACCGAGGAGCGTGGTAAATGTTCGCTCTGCGTACTGACGACAGCCGACCACGTAAATACACAGTCGCTTGGGGTGTTAAAAACTTCTGACATTAGGCGAAATAAATACGTAGGTGGTTAATAGACACAAGAGAGCTTGTGACCGGGACCTCCGGAGGGAGCATAACAGAACCTTTAACTACATTAATAACACTATTTCGACCCCTCGGGGAGCTCGTCGAGCTCCGCGCGCACACACGCAGAGGATGTCGTGTAGCACGCGGGGCTGCGTCGCAATAAGCGATAACAGAAAGCGAGCGCGCGGAGCGGCTGGTCCCGCTGCCCTTATATGGGCCGCGCTCGCCCCGCTCACACAAGCAGCGCGTCAGATCCCCTCGTCCTCCCGAGCCTCCGGCCGCCGGCGTGCTTCCATGCGCGCTGGTTCTGTCGCTACCGAAAAAAACCCCGTACGGAACAAAAAACAGGGCAATAAGTTGGGAGGGTGAAGTAGAACGAGACCTGTAATAAAAACGGGCTTCGGCACAACACTCGTTTTCTTCTGTTTTCTGTCATTAATAGATGAATAGTGCGGTCTAATATGAGTGCACGGTTAAATGGGGGGTGGGAAAAAAGCGTTTTGTCCGCCGGTGCGGTGCAGCAACAGTGTCCTGCCGCTACCTGCTACTAGTGAGCGAAATAAAGGAAGAACAAGCCAAACAGTTGCGTTCACTCTGCTTCAAAAAGCAAAAAGCATGTCTGGGACGTGTTCGACACAACAAGAAAAGCAAATTAAACATTTTTTTTTTCCTCAGCCCCCAACTGTAAAGAAGAAACAATCCGTCCGTCGAGGTCCGCAATAACAATAACAGGTCCGAGTTTAACGTTGGGCTCGAAAACTCGACAGAATGTAACAAAACCAGTGAGCACAGAGTATGCGAGGCGGGCGAAAGTGTACTAAAAACGAGTAAAAGAAGTGCTGAAGTGCAGCGAGCAGCGGTCCGCTCGCGGGCGGGCGAGGTGCGAATAACGGTTTCCCGAGCAGCGGACCGCTAGGCGGAGGGAGCGACGCGACCAGGTATAACGGTGCGGCGCTCCCTGCCTACTTCACGCCACTTTCGGTCACTAAAAAAACGGACTCGCAGGCTGCCAAACTTCTCGCCGAAATTACCGGGACACAGAGCGGTCTCTCGACCGTCCCCCCGAAACGACAGCCGCGCGTCGGAAGTCGCCCAACTCACCGTTGTTCCTCCTCGGGTTCGCCTGCTTTCTGCGCTTACACCTGGGGCCATCCGCCATGATCCTTTCGCTGTGTCTAAATGCTGTCGGAGAGTCACCTCCTCTCTCACCCCCTCGCCCCCCTCCACTTCACCTCCCCTCCCTCCACTTCACCTCCCCTTCTCCGCACCTGGTTTACGACACACTCAGCTTTACGACATCACCTTCCCGCACCTCCCGACCCGCACTGGCCGGACCGTTCGGCGGTATGTAGTGGGAGTGAGAGGGATGAGCCACACACCAGCTCTCTGCCTTTTAAACAACCATGGGAAAAGGTGCACGTCTATAGGTGATACCGCTTTGTGTTCCTGGTGGCTTGCACTCATTATAACCGTCTTATGCTGTATGTATAGCCCAGAAATACTTACTTAATCTTGTTTTTTTTTACTTTTTAAAATGTTTATAAAATAAGACAAGGTAATGTGATACATTTAGCTATATATCATTTTAAATCTTACGCACACAAACACGTTATTACTTGAAGATGAATTCATTCCTGACATAATCTTGCTGCTCAGCTTTAACCTCCCAACCTGTTGTTTACATCCATGCATGTGTGTGCGCGCATAGTAGGAAGGCAGCAGTCAGAACAGAGCCTGTGTGTTTGTGTACGCGTGTGAGTGTGAGCGTGATGTTTAAAGAGAGAAAGAGCGAGGTCATGAGACTGTCGTCACAGATTCAGTCCTCCACCTAAAGAAAAAACCTGCTGTTCTCCTGAGCCATCCTCGATGCAGCGGACGCGGACAAACACACACACACACACACACACACACACACACACACACACACACACACACACTTACAACACTTATCACAGTAGGCTCTGTGTAAATAGACAAGAATCCAGGATCACATGTTTGAGGTGAATTTCTCCTGGAGACACATAGTGACAAGGGAAGATGGAGTTTACAAACTTGCCACAGAGTGAAACGATGCCTGAGATCTCATGACATGCAATTACAGGCCGGAGCTGGCTGCGGCTGCTCAGGAGGCAGATGACTGTAGCATTTCTGGTGCCTGAAACTCTGGTATGCGAGGTGCTGGCATTGGTCAGTCCACGTGTAACCCATCGAATCATTGGTCGAAAGCATGTCATATCCGAGACGATAGGTGCCACTGTTTTCATTACAGCTAGTTGTGATACAGCCATTTCTGCTTGACCGCTTCACCACTACCAACAACAACCAACAACAACAACATTACGAGAAAGATGGCGAACAGAGAGCAAGGTGAAGCTACATCCCTCTACTATTTTTGCATGATGTTAATAGGAGTACAGCGAATGCGAATGGCGCTATTGGCTGATTTGATAACGGAGACAAGACGCCGTCGGGATCTCAAGCATGCGCAAAGTCCAGTTCCTTATCCAATTCACCGTCACATGCCGCAATAGTCGAACTATCAACTGGATCGGATCGAGTTATCCAGGGATGTTAGTCGGATCGTAGTCGGACCGCACATAGTTGGACAAAGGTGTTTACATGAAACGGATAATTTGATTTCAGTCCGACTAAGCCAGTTATTCAAATCCATGTAACCACGTTGTGTAAGAAGGCCCGGACATTTTGCTACCACTGGGGACGTTTTAGCGGGGTGAACAGAGGTCTGACGTCTGCCTTCCCGCAGGATACGGTTGGATCATGGCTCCTTGATCTCCCTGCACAACCATAGATGTTATGTCACAAGGGTACAATATGAATCTGCCTGTCAAGCACTCAGACCCCGGGTGACAGACTCTTTTATGGTACTATCGGCTTATCGTCGGGCGACATGTGACAGCTTGTGTACATAGGACGGCAGCTCTCCAGGTTGAATAATTCAGTAGCAGTAGAGCGGTCCAACTTCTTGGGGCAGGTTGCCCAGATAGAGAGTAATAGCTGGAGCATAAACAACACCTCCAGGCTTGCTCCAGGTGCCCTTTCCCACCAATCAGACAGCCCGCCTGAGCGGGATGTGGTTTGAGGGGAGGGTGCCCAAGAGTCTCTGATTAAAAAAGGCCCCAGAAACAGTCGACATCAGCAAAGATCAATGACGAGACGCTCTGCTAACCGTGCAGTCGCGGGCCTGTTTTTCCAGCCCGCGACTGCACGGTTGCCTGTTGTCCAATGGAAATTCTGGTTTTGTCCCATTTTCCTTGGATCCCGACGCTGCTATAGTGCAGGGTCATTTTTCAGCAACCACTACTTGAACATAAGAGCCAGACGACATCTCCACGTTATGTTTCGACAGGGAGCTGGAGTAAAACGAGGAAGGGGGGGGGTAAGATTTATTTTCCCCAAATTTGCTGTGCGTTTTGTACCGGAGCAAATTAAGTCACCAGTGAACACGTGGAGCTGATTTTGGTGTTGGATACACGCAAGGCGCCCATGCAGATTCAGAGAGGTCAATTCATCTAAATCTAAAATCATGAAAACGGCCACTGCCCTCTTAAAAGTCCCAACTCTGCTCATAAAGATAGCGTGTATTTTTTGCTGTAAAGGCCTTCTGGAATCAAAAGCCTGAACCCTGGTCTTCCTAAGGGGAGCAGAAACAAAGGTGAGGAGGGGCGTCAGGGGCGAAGAGAGAGAGAGAGAGAGAGAGTAAGGGATAAGCAGCCATCCTCCACTACATTAAGGGATCATGCTGCTCCCTGAAAATGAGTATTGATCCTCTTAGGTCCGGGATCGTTTAGGAGATTAATGTGAGTAGCGGTTGAGCTCCGCGGTGCTCCACGCGGGATTGGGGGAGGGAGGGGGTCATCTCAGTGGGACGGCCCGAGCTGGAGCAGCCTATCGGGTGATTGGGTACAGAGGGCCTGGTGGGCACCTGAGGGGTTAGGGGGTTGGTGGTGGTGGTGGTGGGGGTTTCTGCACATCCAGCCAACCTAGCTGTGTGCCATCTGGACTGTCGGGTAAAAGAATCAGCTGGGACGTCCAAGGGGTGGAAGGAGAAGGGTAGAGGGCGTCAAATAGAAATACTCTGGGAGGAGAAGCGAAAGCGTGCGAGGAGCAGGCGGGACAAACGGAAAGGCAGCGAGCGGAGTGGAGGAAACGAGAGCAGAGGAGAGGAACTGAAAGTGCAGAGGGAGGACAACGGCAAAAAGGTGCCCCCACCCCCACCCCACCTCCACTTCCAAATAGAGAGAGGCAGTGATAGAAAGAGACACACAGCAAAGACTAAACTGCTTAATCTCCTCCCAAGGGACGGCAGCTAGATGTGAGGTCCTCCTCCTCCTCCCCTTTTCCACAACCCCCCTCCACCATCTAGGCCATGGCACTCTGCTCAGCTGCGGTTATCCAGCTAAAAGATACAAAGACACACACACACACACACACACATTTTTAAAGTGCTCCGATGGAGCCCGCAGTGCAACTGATACTGCGGAGGAAAGATCCATTTCAGCCTCAAAGTGGAACGCCACGCTGAACGAAAAAGAGCTGCGAGAATGAGCGTCAGAGGGAAAACCTGTTTCTTTTTTGGTTTTATTTATTTATAAATTCCGCTCCTTATAATCTGGCTCGCGGACGAATAAACAGATTTCATTATTAGCCTGAGAATGTTCCCAAGTCTTGAGGTCAGGCCTCTTGGGTTGAACCGGTTGAAACAAATGTCAGCCAGCAAGTATTCGGCAGTAGTTGAATAAGGGTCCGACAACCCAACAATGCAATGTTTTGAGGACAAGATGCAGATCTCTCGGTTTCCCACCAGCCAGCAACTCACTTCCGTCCTCTTCTATGGATTCTTCTCGGGACAGGAAGGGGCTGACACACTTATGGAGGGAGCCGCGCCCCAAACATCGAAGTCAGTGGATCAGGGGTAACCGGGACGGAACCGAAAGTGGTACATCCCAAAGTGAGCGCTCCTCTTGTATGAAAGGGGAACTCCACAGTTTCTGTTTACCTGTCATGAGGAGTAACAACTGGCGCTCCAAAGTCTGAAAAAGATTCAGCCTGTTGATGTTATCAGCTTGGACTTAGAGACCCAAATGTAACCCAAACAGAGAGCACGCATCAAAAAGTGTCAGCCGGGAAGAATAAAATAAGATTTGCTTACCTTGCTCACCTACAACTCAGAGGGAAATATTATTCATGTTTACTCCCATTACATTTATTTAACATCCTACCCACTTACCTACAAAGATAGATAGATAGATAGATAGATACTTTATTGATCCCTCAAGAGGGAAATTTTGGTATCACAGCAGCATGTACAGGGAAGAAAATAGAATAAAAAGATACATATTATATACAATATAATGAGAGAAATATTAAATTATTAAATTAAATTAAATAAACTGAGACAAAAGAATAACCTTCCAAAAGAGACAATAATAATAATTTGTAAAAGGAGAAGAGGAAAAGGAAAGAGCAGCAACATAACAGCAGTACAGGGTTATTATTGTCATTATTTAGCCTAGGATGATTTATTGTATTTATTGTAGAGTGTTATTGCACTGGGCAGGAATGATCTCCTGTATCGAGCGCCTGTTGCATTTTACTCTTCATAAAGTAAGATTGTTCTGAAAGCCCTTATGTCCCTACATAGGTACGTAACAACGGGAGAATTGTTTTACAGTGTGTAAAGTACAGTGGAAATTAGAATTGCCCTACCATTACAGCGCGACACTTCAAGACCAACCGAGGTTACCTTCATAACAAATAAATTAATTTGGATTTGTAAAATCAGTGTAGTGCTCAAAGCCAAAAGGTCTCTGGGAGAATAGGCGCACAACACGGGGTGGAAAAGCCCCCATCTGATGTTCAGCGTTAGGCAAACAATACCCAAAGTCACCCCTCTGCCATGATTCCACGGGGGTGGCTGGCCACGGGCTGAGAGCTCCTGACCGGGTGAACGTAACGCCGCCTGTCTCCGCTGCAGGCCAAGATATATACTTGTTTTGGCTAGCCGGACTTTTGTGTGTATGTGTGGCGTTATCCTAACACTTGCGTGCACATACACATGGACTCACACACACTTGGTGCTGCAGACAGGCTCGCCACGGTCGTCTCCCTCCCCTTGTGACTGTTAGAAAAGGAGACAGCCCTCCTCTGGAAGGCCCTGTGTAGATTTATGCTGTATTCATTGGAGCGCCTGTTGCATTTTACTCTTCATTTGTTCCTGCGGCTG